AGCCATTGTGCTGCTGTCTTGTATGAGAATAAAAGAAACACACCCACCCAGTCGTCTCACTTTTTATACCTCTTCATAATGGCATTGACGTGATCATACATCTATTTTTCAGTACTGACAGGCTTTAGAACATGCTGGTGCTTGTGAGAGCAAGATCTCTTCAGCACGTATTGTCTGAAATGTTTAGCGTTGATTTTAATCATCATTCTTAGCAAATTACACTGAAAGAAAGAATTATACGTGTTTGTAAGTGTAGTGGTAGATGATGATAGATTGGTCTTTAAGAAGCCCAATTATTTTGTAAATGCATCAAAAAAGTAAATTAATGATTAGTTTTACATAGGCCAAAGTAACATCTCTCTCCAATGTGACGTAAATGATTCCATAGTATGTTTCACATGGATCAGCAATATTAAAATGAGAACATGCTAAGAATTCAACAAAGAACAGCTTGAAAACATTTTTTATTTGGAAAGGTGTTTTTGGAAAAAGAAGATCCGTGAAAGCAATAGCCAAAATGTATTAAAAATTTAAAGAAATGATTCAAGATGTTCAACAAAATACTTTCCATTAAATAAACTGATTAAAAAAAACATCCATCCATATCTTACTAAAGAAGTTAAGGGTACTGTTAGATTGACATTAAAGAATTAGAATGTAACAAAAGAAAACCTGAGGTCTGGGAGTATTTTAGAAACCAGTAAAAGTCCATCAAAAAGAAGATAAGAAGGGGGAAAAAAAATAGACCTTAATGAAGTTACATGAAATAACGACAAGCTGTTCAACCACTGAAAGCCAAATAATTTTGTATGGTGGAACATAAAGGGCGTCACGGTGGCTCAGCGGTTGGCACTGCTGCCTCACAGAACCAGGGGTCTCAGTTTTATTCCACTCTCCAGCAACTGTGTGGAGTTTACACACTGTATCGGTTCTGCGTGGGTTTCCTCTGGGTTCTCTGGATTCCTCCCACAGTCCGAAAATGTGCAGTTTATATGTATTGGCCATGTTAAATTGCACATAGTGTCCAGGGATTTGCAGGCCAGATGGATTAGCTATGGGAAATGCAGGGTTACAGGGATGGGGTGGGTCCAGGTGGGATGCTTTTCAGAGGGTCGGTGTGATCTCAATGGGCCGAATGGCCTGCTTCCACACTATTGGGATTCTACAATGAGTCTGTGATAAAGCTTGAGTGTTATTAATGCTGAAATTGACTTAAATATCTGGAAGCCTCCTCAAAATTTACCAAGGAGACAGGGAAAAATTAAGGGATGGTAAGACCAATATGAATGCAAGAAAAGGAATGCACATCAATTGATGGAATGACAAAGTATTCAATTCCTCTTTGTTGGCTGATGAAGTGGAAGTGTTTTTGCATGAGGTGAATATGAAAAGGGGTTTCCATGTTTTGAATTCCAGGAAAACCTTTCCAACAGAGAGCAGGATAAATTACCTGGCACCTGACGAAACATAACCGAACACAGGAATGTAGGAGCAGTACGTAGGCTACTTAGCCTTAAGCCTGCTCCACCATTCAATAAGATCTTGGCTGATCTGATTTGGTCTTCACTTCGTCTTTGCAACCCATAACCCCTGCCTCATATTTCTTTCAAAAATTGAACTAATCCTTGCGTAAGTACAAAAACACAGCTTCCAATAACTTCTGTGAAAGAGAATTCCACACTGTAAAAAAGCTCTGAAAAAAACAGAGATAGTAGGAACTGCCGATGCTGGAGTTGAGATAACAAGTTGTGGAGCTGGATGAACACAGCAGGCCAGGCAGCATCAGAGGAGCAGGAAAGCTGATGTTTTGGGTCTGGACTCTTCTTCAGAAAATGCTCCACTTCACAGGAAAAAAGTCATTGATAACTAAAGAAATACGGGACAACAGAAAACTAAAAGAAAGGGCCTACAAAAATGCAAAAACCAGCATATATCATGCTGAACAGGAAAGATACAAAGACTATTGAAGGGTCACAAATCAGATTATAAGATCTAGTAAAAGTGATTCTGAAACAAAACTTACAACGGACATCAAAATCGATAAGAAATGTTATAGTTACATTAGGGGAAAGTGGGTGGTCAGGAACAATTTTGGACACTAAAGAATGAAAGTGGAGATATTGTGAACATCTATGGGGAAATGGCAGACCTGTTCAATAATTACTTTGCCTCAGTATTTATAGTAGAAAAGGAGGATAGCTTGCTGGAGTCCAGAGGAAATTAACAGTGTAAGGGGGACAGAGGCTATATAACATTAATGCAGGTAAAACTTCGACAATAAGGAGATCAATGGAATTAAAGATAGACAAATCCCTAGGACAGGATGGTTTCCATCCAAGGGTATCAAAGGAAGTAGGGGAGCACATTGCAGACGCCCAACCTATAATCTTAAAAAGTCCCCTAGATTGAGGAGTCATCCCTCTGGTTCAAAAAATTGCTATCACTTTGCTTCTTAAGAAGGGTGAAAGAGGAAAACCAGGGAATTACAGATCAGTTAGCCTAACATCTGTGGTGGGGAAATTGTTGGAGTCTGTAATCAAAGACAGGGTAAGTGAATACCTTGAAAATTTTCAGTAAATCAGTGAGAGCCAACATAGATTCGTGATGGGAGCTCATGCCTGATAAACCTCATTGAACATCTCGAAGAGATGACCAAGGTAATGGATGTTGGGTAAGGGGAATGTTGTTTACCTGGACTTCTCGAAAACATTTGATAAAATCCCACATAAGAGACTACACAGTGTGGAGCTGGAGCAACACAGCAGGCCAGGCAGCATCAGAGCAGTTGATGGAGGAGAGTCCCGACCCGAAATGTCAACTTTCCTGTTCCTCTGATGCTGCCTGGCCCACTGTGTTCCTCCAGTTCCACACTGTGTTGTCTCTGAATCCAGCATCTGCAGTTCTTGCTATCTCCACGTAAAAGACTGTTAACTTAGGTAGAGGCCCAAGGAATTAATGGCAAATTAGTGACATGGCCAAGAATTCGATTGACAGAAAGTAGGAATAATGGGTAGGTACTCAAGATTACAGGATATGACTAATGATGTTTGGTGGACCTATGTTTGTGCCTCAACTTCCAAATTATTTATTGACAACTTGGAAAATGGCACTGAAAGTCATTGCTGATGATACAAAGTTAGAAGGGATTGTGGAAAATGTAGATGACAGCATAAAATTAGAAAGGGATATTGACAGATTAGGTGAATGGGTAAAATTGTGGCAGATGGATATCAATGTCAGAAAGTATGGTGTTATCCCTTTTGGACCAAAAAAAATATATCAGGGGATTTTCTACCTGGTATGAAGTTAAATACAATGGATACAAACAGACTTAGAATTTCAGGTGCATAGATCTATAAAATGCCACAAACAGATGCAGAAAAGAATCAAGAAAGCTCATGGAATGCTGGCCTTTATATCTAGAGGACTGGAGTATAAAGACAAATAAGTTATACTGCAGCTATGCAAAACTCTGGTTAGACACCACTTGGAGTACTGTGAGCAGATCTGGGCACCACACCTTAGGAGGGATATATTGGCCTTGGTCCGAGAGGTTATACAAATTAGGTTTGTATTCTTTAGAATGTAGAATTTTAACTGGTGATCTGATCAAAGCCTTCAAGATGTTAACAGGGAAAGCCAGGGTAGATAAAGATAAACTATTAATTGCAGATTCTCGAACCAGAGGGCATAATCTAAAAATTAGGGTCAGACCATTCAGGAGAGATGTTAGGACGCACCTTGGAGCATAGGAACAGGATTAGGCCATTCAGCTGTCTGGCCTGTTCTGTCATTTAGTGAGATAATGGCTGATATGTGGTCTAACTCCACATACTTGCCTTTAGCCCATATCTCTCAGTACCTTTGCTTAACAAAAAATTATCAATCTCAAATTTAAACCTAAAACTGATCTAGCAAAGGGTGGTGGATTTTAGAACTCTCATCTACAAATGGAAGTTGATGTTAGATGTTCCTACAAGTCCTGCAGTCTCTCCTCATTTAAATAACATACTGTTTTATTATTCTTTCTGCCAAAATAGACTATTTTATATTCTTCATATTCTATTGTTTTTGCCAAAATGCTTCCTTCCTCACTTAACCTATAGACTCTCTACCTCCTCTTGGCAACTTACTTTCCTGTCTGTCACGGTGTCATTGGCAAATTTAGCTACTATACATTGTAGAATAAATTATATATGCACCATCTGCAAGACTAGGAGATAAAATTAACAATAGGAAAACATTGCAATAATTATTGAAGAAGGAATGACACAATCCAAAATCATAATTTCATCAATGCAATCTCATAGAATGATCTGAACTGAACTAAAATGAAACATCAATATGCATGCTTAAATTAGCAGACATCAAGGAAACAACATCATGTGAATTGATCTCCAAGCACCTAAATAATTCTAGTCAATAAGAATACAGCATTCATATTGTTTCAAACTTCTTTGTGTACTTCTGAAATACCATTAGTTTATCATATTAGTTGCAATAAAACAATATAAACCTTTTGAAACATGAACTAATAAACCTAATACCACTCCTTCCATTGGAAGACAGTTGGAGAGGATATTCTACCCACTGTCCTAAACATGCCATGAATCTGATTAATCTTCTTGGTTTGGAGCTCATTACTCAGATAGAGTGGGTTCTTGGCAGAATTTATGGAAGAACCAGTGGGCTTCTTTCTTTCCTGCCCCAGGCACAACTGCCAGGAACATCGGTCATCAGACACGCTGCAATCATTTACACGGGGAGATGAATAGATTTTGGCAGCCTTACCTACCATTTCAGCAGATTAAAAAGCAGATGGGAATGGAAAATTATCATAGGTCTTGATTTTCCAGCACTTCACTGCTCAATTTTGGAAAACTCAAGCTTAGTAAATACACATTTGTTTATTATAAAAATAAATCAGAACACATTTTCCAAGTGCTGACATTCCTTTATAACCCAGCATCATTATTCAGCAACAGCACAGTCACACTTACCTTGTACAATGATGGATGCTGAGGATTGGATGGAATCTTGATTATTACTGGCATGACAAATGAACTGGCCATGGTCCTGGAGAGTAACATTCCGAATAAAGAGGCCACCTGAGGGTGTTGTGGTGTACCTGGAGTGGGCAGGGAGGAGTTCTCCATTTCCTTTAGTCCATGTAATTCGAGGTTGGGGATGTCCAATTGCACTGCATTCCAGAGTGATACTTGATCCGACCAGGACTTCAGTGTTCTGTGGCTGAATCACAAAACTGGGCTTCGCTACAGAGAGAATTATGCTGCATTAAAGTAGTAATTTTAAATATTTCAAACATTTTTTTCACATAAAAGTAATATTCTTTCACTGGCAAGTGGGCTAAATATACAGTATGTATGGTTAATGTAGCAGGGCTGTTTATTTTAATCTTTCTCAATTGTGCCCTACTGGTGTAGACACACACACACACACACACACACACAAAAGAATAACTTTTTTTATTCTGGAATTATTTGGAATAGGAACTTCTGCAAATGATTGAGGGGAGCATTTTAAATAGCATCAGAACAGATGAATGCAGAGTCAAGTAGAACTTCAAGAAGAGCTCCACAAGCACAACACTTCATTTAGACTCCAACCAAGAGTAGTATCTAAAATACGCTGATCGTCTAATCTAATAATATAATAATCTAATTTACGCTGACGGTCAAATGGGAACAGACCATGATTCAATCCTCCTCTTGAACTGAATTAGGGAACTTATCCCTATTACCTCAGAATATCTCTAACTTTCTCTGGGTGTTCTCGGGTTTACGGAGACAGTGGCAATAAACAGTGAAATCGGACAGAAATCTGGGACCAAAAACAGCCACTTATATTTACATAGAACAAAAAGGAACAGGCTATCTAGGAGGGGGAAGAGGAGCAAAAACGAGATCCAGATAGAAACGCTTTGTCTAATTCTTCCACATTTCTAGGTTGCCAATTGTGGATGGAGCAGCAGAGAAAAATTCAGCTCTTCAGAGTCCCCATTGTATATTACTTTTAGATCACACAAGGTCAGTTAATGTTATCAGAAGCAAGATCTGTGCTTTTGGGATATTGATTAGTATCATCAGATATCATCACCGAAATAAGGAATGAGAAACCTTTTAAAATACATGTTCTTTATAAAATGATGGTTGCTAATTCTCTCAGATTTGTTTAAAAACAAGATAACGTCAGTCACATTGGAACATGACAACACAATAATGTGCTCTTTTACTACAGTTAAAATGGTTATGAAGAACTGATTAACCCATTAAAAATCTGAACAGTAACAAAAGTTTCAAGAATATTTATTGAAGCAAGTGATGGTTCAGAGAATCTGATTAGTCAGCAATGACTTATCATTCATTGTTCATTTTAATATAGGCGCATTGAAGATCCAAGGAGTTGGAGGGTTTTGAATTTGAATACTTTTGAATTGCCTGTCAAACTTCACAAATTTGACCCATCTTTTTCAACAGTTATGCAGATTACATTAATTTGACCTGAAAATACCCTGACGTAGAAAAATGACTGAATCAATTAAAGATATTTTCGAATCAACCTACCCAGAGATGCTATTACCCACCTCTGGAGCAGTTGAAATTTGTTTACTCTACCATCTAAGGAAGTTACCACAATTGCACCCTTAATTATATTCTCAGAGATTTCCATGAAACTTGCATTGGCGTATGTCAGATCACATAGAGAACCACAATTAAAATTCATTCTCTTTCCTTTTCAACCACTAGGGAACAAGCAATACGGGACTTAGTGTTGTGCAATGAGGCAGACTTGATAAGGGAGCCTAAGGTGAAGGAACCCTTAGGAGGCAGTGATCATAATATGATTGAATTTACTCTGCAATTTGAGAGGGAGAAGATAGAATCAGAGGTACTAGTATTACAACTGAATAAAGGCAACTACAGAGGCATTAGGGAGGAGCTGGGCAGAACTGACTGGGAGAGGACCCTAGCAGGAAAGCCAGCGAACAGCAATAGCAGGACTTTCTAGGAGTAATTCAGGAGACGCAGCAAAAATTCATCCCTAGGAAAAAGAAGCATGGTACAGAGAGGATGTGACAACCATGACTGACTAGGGATAGCATAAAGTAAAACAGAAAGCACATGATGTGGCAAAGGGCAGTGGGAAACCAGAGGATTGGGAAGCTTACAAAGACCAACAGCGGGCAATAAAAAAAGCAAAAAGGAAGAAGATTAAAGATGAGGGTAAGCTAGCCAGTAATATAAAGGAGGACTGTAAGAGTTTCTTTAGATACATAATGGGAAAAAGAGAGGCGAAAGTAGACATTGGGCCACTGGATGTTGGAGAGATAATAGTGGGGAACAAGAAAATGGTTGAGGAACTGACTAATTACTTTGCGTCAGTCTTCACAGAGAAAGACACAAGTAATATCCCAAAAATTCAAGAGAGTCAGGGGCAGCACTGAATATGACGGCCATCACCAAGGAGAAGGTGCTAGAAAAAACTGAATGGCCAGAAGGTGGATAAATAATCCAGGAACAGATGGGCTAGACCCCAGAGTTCTTAAGGAGATAGCTGAAGAGATAGCGGAGACATTAGTGGTGATCTTTCAGGAATTGCTAGAGTCAGGGAGGGTCCCATAGGACTGGAAAATCAATAACGTGACACCCCTGTTTAAAAAGGGAGTAAGGCAAAAGACTGAAAATTACAGGCCAATTTGCCTAACCTCGGTTTTGGGTAAGATCTTAGACTCCATTGTGAAGGATGAGATTTCTGAATACTTGGAAATGCATGGTAAAATAGGGCAAAGTCAGCATGGCTTCATCAAGAGGAGGTCATGCTTGACAAATCTGTTCGAATTCTTTGAGGAAGTAACGAGCAGGTTAGACCAAGGAGAACCAATGGATGTCATCTATCTAGACTTCAAGAAGGCCTTTAACAAGGTGCCGCACAAGAGGCTGCTGAGTAAGATAAGGACCCATGGTGTTAGGGGCAAGGTACTAGCATGGATAGAAGGTTGGTTCTCTGGCAGAAAGCAGAGAGTGGTGTTAAAAGGGTCTTTCTCAGGATGGTAGCCGATGACAAGTAATTTTCCGCATGGGTCAGTGTTAGGACCACAACTTTTCACTTTATACATTAATGATCTAGATGAAGGAACTGAGGGCACTCTGGCTAAGTTTGCAGATGATACAATGACAGGGAGAGGGACAGGTAGTATTGAGGAGGCGGGGAGGCTGCAGAAGGATTTGGACAGGTTGGGAGAGTGAGCAAAGAAGTGGCAGATGGAGTACAACGTAGGAAAGTGTCAGGTCATGAGCTTTGGTAAGAAGAATAGAAGCATGGACTATTTTCTAAATAGGGAGAAAATTCAGAAGTCTGAAGTGCAAAGAGACTTGGGAGTTCTAGTCCAGGATTCTCTCAAGGTAAACTTGCAGGTTGAGTCAGTATTTAGGAAGGCAAATGCAACTTTGGCATTTATTTTGAGAGGATTCAAATATAAAAGCAGGGATATACTTCTAAGGCTCTATAAGGCTTTAGTCAGGCCACATTTGCAGTATTGTGCGCAGTTTTGGGCCCCATATCTCAAGAAAGATGTACTGGCCCTGGAGTGGGTTCAGAGGATGTTCATGAGAATGGTCCCAGGAATGTAAAGCTTAACATATGAGGAACGTTTGAGGACTCTGGGTCTAATGGAGTTTAGAAGGATGAGGGGGGTTCTATTGAAACTTACAGAATACTGAATGGCCTGGACAAAGTGCACGTTGGGAAGATGTTTCCATTGGTAGGAGAGGCTGGGATTCGAAGGCACAACCTTAGAATAAAGGGAAGACCTTTTACATCGGAGATAAGGAGAAGCTTCTTCAGCCAGAGAGTGGTGACTCGATGGAATTCACTGCCACAGAAGGCTGTGGAGGCCAGTTCATTGAGTATATTTAAGAAGGAGATAGATAGGTTCTTGATTGTCAAGGGGATCAAGGGTTACAGGGAGAAAGCAGGAGAATGGAGTTGAGAAACTTATCAGCCTTGATTGAATGGCGGAGCAAAGCCAATGGGCTAAATGGCCTAATTTCTGCTCCTATGTCTTATAATCTAACCCTCACACGTGTTCCTCCAGGTTTTGAAAGGCAGAATAAAAGGATTTCTAACTTTTTTTTACTAACTGGAAGTAAACTTGGCGATTAAATTGCAAATCTAATCAAACTTCATTTTGAGTCAACTGATGTATTCTCAAAATGAATAAAAGGATCTGATAATGTAAATCAAGATAAATGAATACGATCTAATTGCCATTACAGCAACATGGATACAAGAAGATCAAAACAGGGAACATAACATTCAGGGATATTTAATCTCTCAGAAGGCGGTAGGGATAGAAAAGGTGATGGGATATCACTGTTAAGAAGAAATTAAATGAGTATAGTTGAGACGGATGATCTAGTCCTAGATGATGTAGAGTCTATTTTTGGTGGAGGACAAACAGAAAGAAGACATCGGTAGGAGTACACCCTGCACCCCCCAAACTGTAGCCAGCTATGGGAAATGCAATAAATCAACACATAATAACATGTAGAAAAGAATACAGCATTAATATGAGCGGCTTTAATGTTCAAATTGGAAAAGCTAACAAGACCAAATTCATAAAGAGCATTACAGGTAATTTCAGAGAGCCAACCAGGCAGCAGGCTATCTTGGATTTGGTAATGGGTAATGAAGTAGATTTAATAAATAACTTCTAAGTAAATGATCCTCTAGGAAGTAGCGATCATAACATGATAGAATTTAATATTCAGTTTGACAGTGAGGAACTTTGGTCGGAAGCAACTGTGTTTAACTTAAATGAAGGGAATTGCAATGAAATGAGAATGAAGTTAGCTAAAGTGAACTGGGCAGGAATGATGGTAAGCAAGCAGTGATTGACATTTAAGGAGGTAATTCATGATTCTCAGCAAAAGTACATCCCAGTAAGGAGGAAATATTCTAAGAGTGGGATAAACCAACCATGGTTTACCAAGGAAGTTAAAGAGAGTATTAAGTTGAAAGAAAAAGCATATAAGGAGGTCAAAATCAGTGATAGCTCCAAAGATTGGTATAAATTCAGACTCCAGCAAAAGCAGACTAAAAAGATAATAAAGAGAGAGAAAATAAACTATGAAGTCTAACTAATGAGGAATACAAAAACTGACAATAGGATCTTCTTTAAATGAACATAGGCCCCTTAGAAAATGTATCTAAGGAGATGGTTTTGGGGAACAAGGAAATGGCAGAGGAGTTAAAAACATATTTTGCATCAATCCTCGCAGTGCAAGATGCTTCAAACATTCTATTAATACTAAAGAATACAGAGGAGGCATTAAGTACAGTGGCACAGTGGCTCAGCTGTTAGCATTACTGCCTCACAGCGCTAGGGAACCGTGTCTGATTCTAGGCTCAGGCAAACATCTGTGTGGAGTTTGCATATTCTCCCTGTGTCTGCGTGTGTTTCCTCTGGGTGCTCTGGTTTCCTCCCAAAGATGTGCAGGGTAGATGGATTGGCTGTGCTAAATTGCCCATAGTGCCCAGGGATAGGCAGGCTAGGTGGATTAGCCATGGGAAATGCAGGGTCACAGGGATAGGGTAGGGGGAGGGATGCTCTTTGGAGGGTTGGTGTGGACTCGATGGGCTGAATGGCCTGCATCCACACTGTAGGGATTCTATGAAGTACCATCACTATTACTAAAGAACTATTACTGGACAAACCAATGGCGCTAAAGGCAAATAAGTCACCTGGCCCTGATGGCTTGCATTCTAGGATCCTAAAGGAGATAGCTACAGACATAATGGATGAAATGGTTATAATTTCCCAAAATCCTTGGATTCTGGAGAATTATGAAAGGATTGAAAAGCTGTTAATGTGACACACCTATTCAAAAAGGGAGGAAAGCAAAAAGCGGGTGAGTATAGGCCGATTAGCCTTACATCTGTTGTTGGAAAAGTATTGGAATCAATTATTTAGGAAGTAATTGCAGAACATTTGGAAAATCATAATCTAATCAAACTGAGTTAGCATGGCTTCAAGAAAGGGAAATCATGTCTAACTGATTTATGGGAGTTTTTCGATGATGTCTCAACCAAAGTGGATTGAGGTGAACCAGAAGATTTTTTTTATTTCAACTTCCAGAGCGCATTCGACGAGATAATTCACAAAAGGTTAGGTCTTACGATAAGATCCCATGGCGTTGAGGTAGTGTTTTGGCATAGATTGAGAATTGGCTTTGAACAGGGAATGACAAGTGAGGATAAGGGGTTCTTTTTCCAGTTGGTGACCTGTGACCAGTGGGATTCCACAGGGATATGTGCTGTGACCATAACTGTTTACACTATGTATTAATGATTTGGAGGAAGGAAGTGAATGAACTGTGGCCAAATTTGCAGACGACACAAAAACAGGTAGAAAGGCAGGTTGTGAGAGGAATACAAACAGTTTACACAGATGTATTGGTAGGTTAAGTAATTGGGCAAAAAACTGGCAAATGGAGTATAGTGTGGGAATATGCAAAGCTGTTCACTTTGGAAGGGAGAACAAAAGATCAGAGTATTATTTAAATGGAGAAAAACTGCAGAAAGCTGCAACACAAATGGACTCAGGGCATAGTTGTGCATGAAACACAGAAACCTCGCACACAGGTGTGGCATGTAAACAAGGAGTCTAATGGAATGTTGGCCCTTATTTCAAGAGGGCTGGAGTCTGAGTAGGGACTTACTGCAACTGTATAAGGTGCTAATGAGATCACACCTGGAGTCATGTCAGCAGTTTTAGTCTCCTTATTTAAGGAAAGATATCATTCACTGGAGACAGTTCAGAGAAGATTCACTTGGATGATCCCTGGTATAGAGGGATTGTCTTATGAGCAAAGGCTAAACAGGCAGGGTAAATGCTGAGAGAATATTTCCCCTAATGGGAGAGTCGAGCACCAGAAAGTATACACTTAGATAAAGGGGCACCAATTTAAGACTGAGATGAGGAGAAAGTCTTCTCTCAGAGGGTCTTTGGAACTCCTTGCCACACAAAGAGATGGGAGCAGAGTTCTTGTGTATATTTAAGGCTGAGATATGTACATTCTTGATCCAGTTGGTGAATCAAGGGTTACAAGGAAAAGGCAGGAATGTGGACGTGAGGAATGTCAGATTAGCCATGATCTTATTTAATGGCAGAACAGGCTTGAGGGGCTGAATAGACTATTCCTGTTCCTATTTCTTGAGGTCTTATAGTCACTCTGCCTTACTACGAGTGGGTGACCTATATTATATTAATTACAGTAAGCAGAGATTTGGGAAATTCTGCAAACTAGTTTTAATGCAAGTCTTTAATGCCTATGTGCTATGGGTTTATTTTAAGAGCAGTGCACCATGACTTTATTTTTTAAAAAAACGCTATCTTTATCTCATGGTTTTTCCACAAAGAAAGAAAAAAAATCCTGAAAAATAACAAAAAATTACTCAACATCTTTTTTAGAATTCAAGTTAAAGCAGCTGTAAGAAAAAATGAATAAATAAAACAGGAAAGAAACAAACAACACACTAAAGTAGTTGATTCTTACTTGGACTACCAAAGTATCGAAGTAAAACGCCTTGAGTTGTGGCCTCTCCCAATTCATTTTTGGCCATGCACTGATACGTTCCTTGGTCAGATTCCTGTGCATTCTGAATCATCAAGGTACCATCATCTAGTAAATTCCGACGAATGTCATTTTTCATGTGTAATTCATGGCTTAAAAAAAAATATGGATATGAACAGTGAACATGGTCTCACGTGACACGTGAACGCTTCTGCTAAATTTTAGGTAACATGCAAAAGCAGAGAAAAATGTTTTTCTTGTTGCCATGTGTAGCAAAATTAGAAGCATATTTGTTACTGAACTCTAAGTTGGCATGTTACTGAAGTTGAAATTGATTGTAAAGGTGAAAAAGTTAGGCTTAGACTTTTATATCCCATTCAAGAACTAAGATATACCCTGGACATCGTTAGGAGAGGTAAGGACCCCAATGAGAGAGGCAAGATGCCGTAATAATACTTAAAAGTTGATATCAATGTGCTAAAAAGATACACTAACTGATCAACTTTCAAGTTCATTGGAAATACCATTGGAAATGACAACCCTGTCAAAAGCAACTGTGACAGATTAAAAAGTAACTGTCAAAAGCAACTGTAAAAAGTGTTAAGGCATTTAAAACTTCTATCTTCAAAGATTTAAAAGGTAATGTCAACAGCATGAGAAAAATGTAATTACATGTTATTTAAAACCGCCTGTTTAAATAAGCCAGTACGAGATTAGAACGTTATGACTGATTTTACAACCTTCCATTCTCAAAGCAGGGTGTTTGCCATTTCGGAAAATTCGACTGAAAGCTCCAGCTGGGTTTGACCCTTTACATGGGCTCTATGAATAATAATGATTTTATAATATATTAATGTTTAATCTCCAAAACAGTAAATTCAGAACTGTTCTGAAGGAGTCATATCAGATACTCTGTCAGATACTAGCTACTAGATGTCGTCAAACCTAAGTTTCTCTAGCACTTGCCAATTTTATTTCAGATTAGAATTGGCATCTGGAAGGAACCTACCTCGATAAACTTTCACCCCTTGCTGAACAAGAATCTATTTAACTCTTCCTCAAAAAAAAACTCAGGGACTTTGCTGGCACTGCCTATTTGTGGAACTGTGTTCCAAAGACTCATGTACCATTGTGAGAAAAACATTCTCATATCCATCTTAAATCTTTAATTTTAAACCATTCCCTTGTTTTGGATTCTCCCACAATAGAAAACATCTTTTCCAAATTCACCCTGTCAAAACCCCTCAGGATATCAAAAATTTAAATCCAATCATTGCTTACTTTTCTAAACTCCAAGCCTAGCCTGTTCAATCTTTCCTCATAAGTCAACCTGCAGAGTGAGGATACAATGTTGCCCATTCTTTGACCAAGGCCATGATGAAGCAGATGATCGAGCTTCTGAACATAAGGTTCCACTGCTTGGATTGGTGTAGTGGGGGTGCTGCAGTGTAGTCCAGATAAAGCATGCCTCACCATTCTGGCCTGCTGTATTCTAGAGTCCAAGGAGGATGAGGACTGTAAGGAAGAGGAAGCTCAGACAAGACCTAATTGACACCCAGTTCCAGCAGATGAGAGTTATGTGCCGCCGACCATCACAGAATGCAAAATAGTTATTGGTCACGATGCCAGCATTTAGTTTACATTACAGAGGCAAACATTAGCCTCTGTTTATTTTGTTATGTTCACTTTTACTGACACTTTATTTAGAAGATCATGTTTTGAATTGTCCAATTGTTTGCCTGTATGTGATGTTCACTTCCTGGACAATGACCAGATGTGGGTCCACAGTGGGCTTTGGGAATAGTGTAGTGGTGATTTCCAGATGGTGTTTAAACCGGATTATCAAAAAACAGATAAACTGTATGGCTGGTTGGTTAAACAGCGACTGGGGTGACAGAAAGGGGCTGTAAGTGCAAGAGAGTGTCAGCCATGAGGAGCATGGTTTTACAGCTCCTATCATTACGTTGATGGTGAGGGGCAATTCTCGATGGGCAAGACACATGTACGAGCATAGACACCATTCCAAGATGGCATGTGTGCCAGGGATGCCAGCCTTTTAACTGATATCTGCTGAGTTGTGAATTATTCCAGGAATGGTGAGTGGTAACATGGAGCTAAAATCAGGTAAGAGGGATGCTATAAGAGCTGCATAGATAGTTAATCAGGCAAGAAGCTTCAAACAAACTCAACAAAATAACTTAAGATTTAGCTCATAAGAACAAATAGTAAAAGTTTTTATTGATTATTTTTTAAAGTTTTATAAGTAACAGAGTGATATCGGTCCTAAAGAAAGTGAGTCTGGGGATTTAGTTATTAAAACTAAGGAGACAGCAAATTGATAAATATTTTCTATTCATCCCACAAGTAACATCCCAAAAAAACTGTAACTCAGCAAATTAAAAAGAGGGAGGAACTCAAAATAGAAACTGCATTGCACTAGAGAAGTGACACTGAGAGGGCTGACAAGTCTCCCAGTCTTGATGGACTTTTTTCTCAGGTCTTAAGAGAAGTGACTAGTGAGATAATTGATGCATTGGCTTTAATTTAACAAAACTTTTCTCAGATTCAGGGAAGATTTTATTATATTTTAAAAGCATACCTTAATTCAAAGAGCAAGTTAGACAGAAATCAGGAAAGAACATGCCAGTTAGATTAACATATATCATAGTGGAAGTGTTTGATGCTATAATTAAAGATGTTATCGCAGGGCACTTAGGAAAGTTCAAAGTGACCAGCCAAAGCCAACATGGTTTTGTGAAAGAAAATTATGTTTAGCCAAACTGTTAGAGTTTGTTGAGGAAGTAATGTGCTGTGGTTAAAGGGGAACTGGTGGATATACTTTACTTGGATTTCAGGAACAAATTTGATAATGCACCATGTCAAAGGTAATTGCAGAAAATTGAAGATAATAGTGAAAGATGTTAGAAACTGACACAGTTGGAAGTTTGGCTAGCTAACAGAAAACAAGAGAGTAGGTATTTTCTGGTTTGTAAGATGTAATGAGTGACATGTTACCAGGATCAATGCTAGTACTTCAAATTTTTCCAATTTATATAAATAACTTAGATGAAGAGACTGAAGAATCAGCTGTTAAATACAATGATTATTAGGAAAGTATGTTGTGAAGAGAACATAAGAAGGATTAGGTTAAGGGAATGAATAACGACCTGATAAATGAGTATAATGTGAGCAGAAATAAAATTCTCCACTATTATCTGAATGGTGGCAGATTACAAAGCTCTGAGATGAGGGGGATCTGGGTGTCAGCAGGTTGTACAACGATTGCCATGGTTGCAGTGGGTATTTGTTGTCCCTGAGTAACTCGCCTTATAGGCCAAACTGGACCCTCAAACACGCCAGGTTCCAAAACATAGTGGCCGTGCCAACTATCAGAGTAGTGGGACACACATCTCAAGGTTCTGGTTAAGCAATCACCGTTTGCCTGAACATTAACAGAATGGAGCCCTTTCCTGTTGATGTATTCTGTAGTGTTATGATCGGACCCTCTAAGCACCAGATGTGTGTACAGTTCATGACAGCCTGTACCTGGGGGAAGCAGCTATTTTCCCAAATCCTGTGACAACAAATACCCACTGCAACCATGGCAATCGTTGTACAACCTGCTGACACCCAGATCCCCCTCATCTCAGAGCTTTGTAATCTGCCACCATTCAGATAATAGTGGAGAATTTTATTTCTGCTCACATTATACTCATCAGGAATGAAATGAACTGGTGTGATCTTGGAAACAGATGGTATCAGTTACTGTCCTGACGCATTGTGGATGCACAACTCAGAGATCCTACACAGGTCATTTGTCACTCCCAGGCAGGACCAGTCACATAGAAGTTTAAAGCTGATGTCACCTTCACGGACACTGGAAGAGGTTGGCCTCTCATTCCTACAGCATCCAGGTTCTGCTCTACCCACAGTTCTGTCACAGTGTCCCAGGACATACAGAGAATGTGTTAACATGTCACCTTACTCATCCCCATCAAATTAAGTCAGGGTTTGAAAAACTCTGGTCCTCCTGCATTCTCTTTCACTTTCTCAGGAACTCAGCCACAAGGGACCAACATTCCACCAGCAGCGGAGCGTCTGGCAAAGACATATTTTGTGAAAATAAAGCACAATAAAGCATGCTTAGAACAATCAGTGGTTGCACACCTTGCAGATGAGGGTTGAACACACTCCTTCACACTTTGAGACATGCTGCATCCTAATAATGAGGGTCATGTTTCCACCATTCAGTCAATTTCAGTCATGCACTGGCTCAGTATTCAAAACATTACATCCCCTTCAGATACCAGATCCACGTCAACCATGAAGGATCACTAAATTCAATAGAGTCTGTTGTCATAGTTACATGACAGGTGATGAAGTGATCACCTCCATCTCTCACAGCACCCTTAGAAATTTCACAATTTATGGTTGGCCTTTAGCCAGCATTCACTGCATTTTTAGTCATTGCTGCTAACATCTGCACCATCGAGTCAATGTTCAATTTTCAAGGATCAGTGGCATGGTGTAAATTGCTTTTGACAAGCAATAATTCTGCATGCATTGCAAATAGACGATGAAATGATTGCAAATTAAACATGGCTGCAGTTTGCAAACATATGTATCATGTATTTGCCTGTGTAAGCCCCGCGACCATGTGCAGATTGTGCCTATGACTTAACATACGGGGATCCTCTGATTGACAGTGGCCCCCCTAAACTCGATGGAAGACTGTTGATATCTCAGTGTGCTATATAGCAACGTGTACCCCACACCTCCGGACAGATAATGTGTCTGTTGAAGAAAGCATGTCAATACGGCAGTACTCATAACCTTTAGAGTTTGGCCGATTGACCAAAGCAAAAATGTGTTCACAGGTGTGTTATGGTGTGGCAAGGCAAGGAGGTATAGATGCTGTGAGGAAACAGGCTCCAATTGTATGAGTGCGAAATAAGCAAGTTTGCATCCTTGAGATGCAGACTGGTCAATCTGTGAGGTAGGTGCCTGTTCCTGTACAGAAAGTGTCCCTCCAGCAACTTTTCAAAGCTAGTTGCTTGTGCACTCTGCAATGCAGGTCTGCATCTCCTAAGTGTCCTGCAAGTAAATCACAGAAATGCCATAAAGATCCTGAGAGGACGCCAATGTCCATGGA